ACAGAAATTAATAGCCTATGGCTGTCATCCCATTAGAGCAAACTACAACATTTTTGGTTTTACTTTCTTGCTATATATGCAGTGCTCAAAGGGCAGGAAGACTTTTCTAGCTCCGACAGATATCTGAACTTCCATTTTGGAGACATTCCTTTAGCTTCTGGCTTTGGCCCTTAAAATATGAAACCACCAGGACAGAGGCACTATTCATTTCTAAGGTTATTTTTGGACCTAATTGGTCTAGAAGCACTCACGCACCTGTAACTCACCTGTCCTAGCTCAACTCCTATCCTACCTGTGACCCCCAGTGGGCATGCAGTATCTATCTATACCTTATCACAGCTTTTGCCACATGCACACGCATTGCTGGCTAGAATGTACACTACACAAGGACAGTGACTTTTATCTGTTTTGTACACTCAACAGCCCAGAGCACACTACTTCTTAGCTTCAATCATTCTTCACCTGTAGAGACTTTCCATTGCTGTTCATTCCAAACTCTGGCAGCTATTCTGCCCACACATGTTGTTTGCGCCTACCTTCTCCGTTCCCCTCCATTTTCATCATTTCTATTATTTCTGCTCCAAGTTCCTATGAACAACCTTGAAACATCCTTGTCAATCGAAACCAATATATATTTACTGCATATATCTAGAGAATCACTGTAATATAGCTCCGTGTGGTTTTGGAAACTTCTGTTTACTGTGTATATTGCACCTCTTGGATCCTTGGAGTGGATCCTGGTTTCTCTCATTTCTCCACTCTAGATAATCTGAACTCTGTTTACTCTGCAGGGTGTATTCCTATGGGTCTTAACCAGGGTCCATACTTTCTAATTTCCCTCTATATCATCAAATAACAGATTAGACCCCACTTTTCTCAGCGTAAGCACTAGGAGGTGTCAGTAATGAAAGTGGTGCTTTAGCCATTTTGGAAAACGGTGTGGAAGGGAACATTAGTGTGCCACATGTCCAAGGGGGTGGGGCATGAGAGAGGGTAAGCTGAGAGAGTTGGGGGGATACAAGGTTAAGATCCAGGCAGATGTGAGCTCTAATCCCAGCTCTGCAAATCTCCACTGGTGCTAACTAGCCTGAGAGCCCTCGCAGGACCTGGCCCCTGCCTGCCTTTCCAGCCTCTGCTCCCACACTCTTCCCCTGTTCACTGCTTTCCAACCTCACTGGCCTCTTTCAGATTCTCCAACACACTTTCCTCTTGAGGCCTTCTGCTGCCTGGAATGCACTCCTGCCACTTGGCCTTGCCGATTTCTGCCCATCTGAGTTTATACATCACCACCTCGGAGTGGCCTTCCCCAAGCCCCAGTCTACATGAGTCCTCTTGTTACTCTCCCTCTCAGCATCACATCTCGGCTGTCAGTGTGACCAGGTAATGTGTCGTTATATACTGTATGAACGTGTGCCGGCTCAATGCCTTTCTCCTCTGTTCTGCTACAGGCTGTAGAGGGCAGGGACCACATCTGTATTTTCTCTCACTGCGTACCTAGATCTTAGCACAGTGCCTGGAACATAGGAAGCTTTCAGTGAATACCTGTGGAGTGAATAAATCACAGACTGAATTCCTTAACCACTCTGAGGTTCAGGTTCCTCAATGATAAACCAGAAATATTACTATGGCATCCCTCGTGGTTGATGGAAGGACTGAATGAGATGAGCCAAGTAAAGCTCTTCACAACCTGGGCATGCAATAAGTATAAGCTTCCATTTCCTCTACCTCATCATTTCTTCTCATACTGATTTTGCCAAAGGGCACATTTTCATTTTAAAAACTAATGCTTGAAAGAAAAATCAGCCAAATGCATGAAGATCTGCAAACATAAATCTAGTGATTTAGAGATATGATGAAAGAAGCTATTTGAAATCATATGACGTACATGGTCGAATATCTCTGTGATGTTTGTTTGTTCTCAATGAATAAGCTTCTTGCCTTAAGAGAAGGGACAGGGGGCGCATGACAATCAGTTGATGGTGATAAAAACAAAACCTAAATTTAATTCATCAAAATCTATGAATACTAATCAATTTTGTAATTTAAAAGGAAGTACAGAGGGTTAGAGCAGCCAGTCTGCTCCAACAGAATTAGTGCAAAAATACACTCATTGGTGAAAACTTAGTCTTAAGAGACCCATGTATTACTCATGTATGATTTCAGTTTTATTCTCAAAACTGAGATAGCACTGCAAAAATTTAATTCCAAGACATGCAAGCATATCACTCAGAAAATTCTCTTGATCTCTCTGATGGC